TCTGTTAGACTTTAGATTAAGAGCGTTAGCAACCTCTAGCGCTTCTATCTTATTAAATAGAGAGTAGCGTAATTCTATTTGCTAGTAGATAAGAACTATCTACACTTAGCAGGTGCACTAATTATTAAAGCTTAATCTCTTTTAGAGCTACTACTATAGATAGTATAGCAGCCTCTCTTAGTATAATAGCGTTTAGTATAGTTTACTACGCTAGTAGTATAGCTCTTATAGTAGTTATTATAGTGTAGTCTATTATAGCTAGGTACTACCTAATATAGGTACTAACTTTAGGCTTCTAAAAGGCTCTAATAATTTGTAGATTCTTTATTCTCTCTTTATACTAAGCTTTAGCTTTATAAAATAATAATAGTATAACGTAAGTTATAACTACTTTATAAAGAGACGTAGTAGGTAGGCTATAGACAGTATTTATAAGACTTTAAAGATAGTAAGAGATCTTTTAAGTAACTACTACTTATTTAGTAATATAAGTTTTAAAGGTTAGCTTTCTATTAAACTAAACCTCTAGCTAGTAAAGAGTAGCTTAGCTACTATTTACCTTAGAAAGAATAGCGTAAATTTCTTAATTATTAAGCTAGATAGAGAGAGAAAGTAGGCTTTGTTTTCTTATTAGGTAAATTAGCTTAGTCTTCTTAGAGGCGAACGTAACTTTATTTACTACTCTCTATTTATTAATAAACTTTAAATTAGAGGCTAGTAACGTAGTGCTCTTGTCTAGAGAATAGGTAGTTCTATAGATATAGATATTATTAGCATACCTAAAGCGCAATTATTAGTTCTAGTTTAAAAGTTTAGCTAAATAGAGAGTATAAAGAACTAGTAATAGTAGTAATTCTTAGAGTGTTCTACAGCGTACAGAGTAGGCTAGAGTAGTAGCGTTACCTAGCCTTACGCAGATAGTTCTGTTAGATAAAAACTTTTAAATAAGCTTCTAGAGAATTAAGAGCTAGCTCTAGTCTTTAAGTTATTAAAGAAACTAATTCTTAAGTAGTGTATTAAATACCTCTTAAACGTCTATAGTAGCTATAAACACGTACTTATACCTAGACTAGGCTATCTCTATGTTATAGACAAAAGACGTAACTAGGTTTATAGCTAAGCGCTTAGGTAGCGTACCTCTATACTAAGAGCTAAGAATGTTATATACTATAGTAATGTAGGCTATCTACCTTGCAATAATTTAGTTAAGACTTTTACCTATATATAATATAAGAGCAATAGGTCTTATAGAGTAGAGAGAAAATTTATTTTTCTTTCTAACCTTAGAGATTATAGCTATCTTAGCGTTACTCTATATATCTCTATAGTAACTCTTAGTAAAATATTCTTAGTAAATAGCGTATATAAAGAATTAAACGTATAACTAGCTAGCCTTAAGCAGCCTAACAGTAACTCTATTAGGCCTAGGTAAGGTACTAGAGACACTAATTATACTCTTTTTAACTTCTTCTATAGAAATATAAGTATTCTAGAGTAAGTACTTATTAGGTGTCTTATCTATAAGAGGTAGAGGCTTAGAGAGGTTATCTTCTACTAAAAAGTAGTCTAGTATAGCTTTCTATAGAGCTTTAGCCTTCTCTAAAAGTGTAGTAAAAGTTTAGCTATTAATAATTAGTAAAGTGTCTATTTAGTTATATATTATCTTATACTACCTAACTAGCCTATAAAGGTTCTAGTTAGAGGCATAGAAATTAATGCAGTGTTGCTAATACTCTCTCTTAGCCTTTCTAACTCTAGTAAGAAAAGCTCTAGTAGTGTTAGAGAGTAGCTCGCTATTAGAAGCTTTATTTCTAATATAGGCTCTATGCAATACCTAGCACTTATCTATCTACTAGAGCACTAAGTAGCTAGACTCTTAGGCTAGTTTGCTAGCAACTTTAATAGCGTTATTTATAGCTTTAGTAACATCTACTATACTATCTTTAATTTATTATACTATTAGGTTTTAGCTAATAGGCCTAAGGCTAATAAGATTTAGTTTAACTAGCCTAGCAAACTAGAGTAAGTTATAGTTAGAAACGCAATAGTAATACTATTCTAAGACTTATTAGCTGTAGCTAGGTAAAACTATTACTAAAGTGTTATAGTTAGATTCTAAATATAGAGCAGCCTACACTAAAGTTCTAGCAAAGAGAATATTTAAGAAGAAAACGTTAATAATATACCTAGCGCGATAAGTAGGCTCTCTAGACTCTTTAATAAAAGAAATATTATTTTAATTTACCTAGTAGGCAACCTCTAATCTACTATGCGTAGTAATAGAGCCTAGTTTAAAGAGTTTATATTAAGCGTTTAGGTTCTCTTTAATAAGATAATTAGAAGAGAAAGTAAGTAAAACTAAGTAGTGTAATATTGTGTTGTCTAAAGGTTATTAGTAGAAATTTAAAATAGAATACCTATTAACCTCTATCTACAAGAGGTCTCTACTAAGATAGAGATAAATAATGTTAGCTTTAAGACTAGAGACTTTTTAGATATATATTAGAACCTATAGGTAGTTATATTTCTAGGTCTTAGAGTTATTCTAGCTAATTACTAAAGAGAGCATATAGTAGCCTAGATAGGTAGATATCTAGGTACTAGTTATAGTAAAAGGTTCTTAAATGTAAATAATATTAATTTTAGCGTTCTAAGTAAGTTAAAGAGTAGAAATATAGCAGAGTAAGCTTCTAGCTACGTTAGACTAGTAGATTTAAAGCTAGCTATTATAGTTCTATAGGCAATCGCTATTATTATTTAAAGGTCGTCTTAATATAAGTTTAAATTAGTACTTATTTTAGTGTCTGCATATTCTATTAAGAAAGAGTTAGTATGCTTAGAGTCTTTTAGCCTAACGCTTTTAGTAGAGAGTTAATAAAGGCTAAAGTCTTATATTAGCGCTGCTAATTATTGTAGCCTAGAAGATTCTAGCGCTTTAGACTTACTTATTAATTTCTGCCTAGGCGCTGTACTCTTAGAATAGCCTCTCTTATTAGTAGCTACTACAGTAGTGCTTTATACTAGAGGCCTAGGCATATTACTTATAGTAAAGTTAATAGGTGTTTCTTTAGAGGCGTCTATTAGTAGATTTATAGTAGCTATAGTAGCTACTAATATTATATATTAACTAAACTACCTTATAGTTAACAGTATTCTTTTTATAGAGCGTACTATACGCCTATTTACTTGCGTTAGAGCTGTAGAATAATTAAGGTAAGTAGCCTTATAGAGGCTATAGTAGTTAGAGCATCTTAGTATATTCTAGCAGCGTTTAACTAAGCCTTTATATATAGCTAAAGGCTTACTATACCTAGAATAGTAGGCTGCTCTTATATAGTTTATAATCTTACAATACTCTTAGTAGCTAGAGTTATATAGCAAAATAGGTAGATTCTTTTAAATTTTCTTTAAATAGTTACTCTAGCTAAATAGGCAGAAAGCGCGTACTAGAGTAGAAAATAAAATAATCTAGGTTGTTCTTCTATTCTTCTAGAGGCTGTGCTATAATAGTTAGACGCTTATAAGTTACACTCTAGTCTATAAGAGTGCTTTATTATAAACTTTATTAAGTTAGGTAGAAATAAGGCTACCTATAATTAATCTATAGTTACTATTAACACCTTAGACTATATAATTAACCTAGCGCTTAGAAAGTCTAGCGTTCTTGCTATCTACTACCTAAATTATTAGTTTACGCAGTACTTAATTTATAAGATAAGATTTAATATCTTTATTATAGAGCGTAATAGCCTAACCTGTTTTTATAGCTTTAGCCTAAGATATATTAAATAAAGTAATTCTGTTTCTAATAGCCTTAATAATAGCCTTATATATAGTAAATAGAGAGGCATATTATATTTATATAGCTAGCCTAAGAGTAATAAGAATATAATTATCTATAGGTAGTAAATAGGCTATAGAGCGTAGCGCTAGCTTTGCTATTAGTGCTGCTTTTATCTTAGCAGCGCCCCTTTATAAAGGTATAGAATTTTTTAAAGTCTTTGCTATATCTACCTAAAAGTAGTAGAATAGGCTAGTAGAGGTTTTAGTATTACTTCTAGAGGCTAGCAAGAAGTTAAATAATAAGTAAATAGCTTTTAATACCTATTTCTAAAGTTCTCTAGCAATAGAGAGCTAGGTAGAGTTAGTAAAATAATCTAGACAGCTATTAATAGCTGTAGCTAAGTCTTAAATAATATTATAGTAAGTTCTTATAGCCTTTTAGTCTGCCTAAATACGCTAATAAACAGCGTCTAAGATAGCTTAGTATCTTAATAGCGTACCTTTACTAATAAAAGCTACAGCGTAGTTAAGTTTACGCTATTATCTCTTATTAGAGGCACGTAAATTTCTATAAGCTAAGCTCTTAAAGTTGTCTTATTAAGTTTAAAGAGGCTACACTAAGTATAGTAAACTCTTAGGCGTTACTATATTAGCTATTCTAAACTATTTACGCGTAAGCGTAGATATTTAGTTAGCTAAGGTAGTTAGAGGCTACTACTACAGGTTAATTAGTATAAAAATATTAGTAAAAAGTTAGGGTTCTAGATTTCTAAAAAGTTAGTGTTTAGTAAGCGTGCGGAGTTAAGCGAAGCCACGCCTAGCACGCTAACCTAGGAGAAAACTAAACACCCTAGAGCCTACGTTAATGTTAGGTTACCTACTTTGCAGATTTTTGTGCTAATGTAGTCTGCAGGCCTGTTTAGTTTCTTCCTTGTATAAGGTGCCTAGTGAGACAAGGCTGGGAGACAAGAAAAAGGATTTCTAGCGGGTGCGGCAAATCTTGTATCTACTACATACAACTTAACAAATAGATCGACCACCGGTAAAGTTGAAGCGCGGCTCTTGATATAGCTTTTGCCAAGTCGACTTTGCCGCACGTAGTCAATGATTTGGAAGGGCACGGATGACGACTTTCACGGATACTAGTCTCGCATCATTGTGAATACGCTGATACAGGTGCGAATCGTAAGACTATCTAATTGTAATACCACTGCGCTCTAAGAATCGTGGATGCCGTTCTCGCTGCCGTTCTCGCTGCCGTCCTCGCTGCCGTCCTCGCTGCCGTTCTCGCTGCTCGGACGACTACCAAGACTCTGCCAAACACCTGGCCGATGGAACATAGACCTGACCGACATCTCGACCTGGAACTTCCCGTCAACTGTAGGCCTAATCTTCGCATCTTCATGCCCCTCTATCACCTCACCCTCCCCAGTGTCAGAAGTATCCTCATCGCCTTCCTCATCGTCGCCGTCGATAAATGTAATACCGTTTTCTTCAAACAGTTTCTTGAGCACGGTTTTCCGTACATCATCCTCTTCCAAACTCTTGTCGTCTTGTCCGTGGTACTTCCGCCCTAGGTGTTTTTGCACTAGCTCTGTACCTCTGAGCGATGCCACTGAGCCGTAATGGTCAAGGAAGAAATTACGGCGGCGACAGCGTCCGCAGTGGTCATTGCTGTGATACTTGTCCCTTATGCACTCATCGCGCAGGCCTCCTAACAGTAGATCTCGGTTGCGTTCGCGGTATATCTCGTTCATGCGATTGTGAGCAGGGATTTGGCAGAGCACGCCGCTATCTTTCTTGTCGTCGAAATCCCAGTTCTCGTAGAATTTATAGAGCTGGGGAACGTTATAACCAACCAGCTGCCAAGCTACCGTGTGGTATGTGCGAGCCATTTGCTGAGCCAGACATTTGTCGCCAAGCCAGGCTTTACACATGTTGTATTGCGGGGTGAACTCGTGTGACGAACGCTTGTGGATGACTCTCTGGATGCAAGTCCATACCTTTCGAAGCTGCGGTGCGAGATCTGGATCGTCGAGATCGATCTTTTTCTGCTTGGCTGCATCTTCGGAAGCTATCTTGAGGATGTATAAGCCTAGCCCGGGTGTGGGCTTTGGCATGAGCTTCGCCAGGACAGGGTCTCCGGCTAGTTCCGATAATATCTCTTTCCATATGTCTCCACAGATTCGGTACATCGAAATCCAGTCGAAGTAGACGTTCTGCATCTCGCCCTCTATAAATAGAGACAGATCGCGAAGCAGCACAGGAGAGCCATCTGCCGGACCATCCTCGAACAGTCGCACCACCCGACGAGTGTCAATCTCACTTTCAACCCAATCCGGTGATGCGCCCAACTGGCGTGCTAGTTGCCCTTGTTTGGTTTTGTCGCACAGCAAGACATTGAGGTTACTGGCAAGCTCGTTCACGGACTCGTTGGTGTGGTCGCTCCATCCTGTCATCCTACTCTGCAGAATCGGACTCAATAAGCTCGTTTCTTGAAACATTCGACTTGATTTGTGGAAACGGTATTTCCCACTGCTGTCTATGCGGGGCATCTTGCTGCCAAAGGCAAGATTAATCTTACGGTATGACTCGTCAAGGGTTTTGGGTATGCCGCCGTAGAAGATGTGATTTGGATCCTGAGAGTAGAGGAGGTATTCCATGTCAGGCCAAGTAGGGTCGTTTGGATAAAGTAGTTTACCCTAGTGGTTGATATTAGTACCGATTGACGATTACTCAAGGCCACTGTGTGGAGTTTTGGAAACTCTAGAACAATTAGGCAGGACTGAGCTTTACGTACCGCAGTATAGAGGTGGCCCAAGACGCACGCAAGGCCACTCTGCCCCTCAAGATGCCAGCCGCAAATATGTAGTTGGAAGTAGACATCGTACTTGATCAAACCGCAACGTATTGGGTTATATTTGAGTGCAGGGATGTCAGAATGTTCCATAAGCTGGTGATAGATGTCCATGGTGTCCCTGCACCGAGAGCGTTCATCTCCAGATGGAGTATGAGGACCAAATAGCTCCGGGAACGGGGCTTCCCATCCATCAAACGCCGGCCATTCATTCAGCTCGTCGTTTAGTGTTACCCGAGCATGAGTGAACGAATTGTTGAAGCCTTTGCCTTCACCCATACGATTATCCTTGATGTCCTGGATGTCGAGAAGCGTCTGGATGCCAAATGTGACCCAAATGGGGATGGCTTTATCTGTGAACATGATCTTCATGCCGCGGGTTACCTAGATGGTGGTGTACAAAGTCAGCGTGTTTCTCTTGCATTTCATACACCAAGATCTCTTACCTCATCTTGAGCCCAAAATCGTTGGTGTGCTGAGGTGTACACCCGGAACCCTTTGGCAAGCTCGAACGTCCTCCTAATCTGTGGCACTGAATCCGCACCAATCGCCTGAAGCTCGTCCTCGTTGGCGTCAAGATAGGGGAATTTCTTGATGCGGTTCACACAGAATCGCAGACCTGTGTAGGCAGGCCAAAAGCACCAGTTGGCGTGAATCTTATCGTACTCGTCCTCATTGAACTGAATACTAACATCTGAGGGGACCACTACCTTGTGGATCTTGACATCATCCGGCAATGGGTGGTAGTGATGATATAAGAGCGCAGGAAGGGACCAGACAGGAAACTTTGATACTGGGTATCTGGATGGGCGCTTGAGATTAAGGTCGAATTCGCTCTCAGCACGCCTGACAAGATCTATCGCAGTGTTTGTGAGCAGAGCCGACGCCATAAGGTCCCTGTTGAAGTCCTGTGTCTTGAACCAGGAATCTTGTACCACGTCCTGAATCTCGTGGATTCCTGCGAGAAACGAATGTATTGCGAAGAAAAACTCCTCTTCGGCCTCTTCTTCGCTCTGCTCGATATCCGCTGTGACAACCGGCGGCAAAGTGGCTTGCTGTTCAACATTCTCTTTTGGCGACGTGTCCGCTACTTCCTCCACCGTCAGCTTTTTGAACCGATTGTCGACACCATTGGACTTCTCCGGTTTAATGGCTCTGGCGACAGGAACCAAAGGGCGCAGAATTTCCTGGACTCTGGACAGTATGTTTATGAAGTGATTATGCCCTTCATCTTCAAGTTTAGCAGATTTGTACCAAGCTTGTGCCTCTTTCCTAGCTTTTATAGCTCTGCCGAACACTGTCAGGAGCGGAGATGGCACTTTGACTTTCTTGGCTTGTTTGGCAATAGCCTCGGCAATAGGTATGAAGTCGACGGTCCGGATGTGATATGCAGAGGGCTGGTTTTTGGCAGCCTCTTTGGCAGCCTCCTTGGCCTTCTTCCTATCTTTGCCTTTTAGGCGTTGTGACTCTACCGGCACCGATGCTGGTCCACTATTGAGGCTAAACCCGATTTTTTTTGAGGCTTCGACTAGCCAGCCGGCAATGTATTCTGTCGTCGTATAAGTCACACTAACCTATTGAATTGAAGCCATCAAGAAAAACGCACCTGTATCCTTCTTGTATTGGCGATAAGTTGTCGAAAGAAACCCAGAATCTAGAGTCGTCGACATCTTAAAAAGATGTGTGAGAAAGAACAGCGCGGGTGGGAAAAGAGTCGTGGAACATCAATCGTTGAAGCTGCTGTTTCAGATGAGGGGGCAGCGGGACTTCGGATGGACCTAGCGTTAAGTGGAGCTCCTGGCATGCTACATAATTCGCTCGCTTAGTGGACACTCCCTAGGTAAGGAGCTTTCCTGTTATGGATCCGGCATTTAGAAGAGATCTGCGCATCGTGGTAGCCAGTTGTTCGAATTGGTAATGCTTTTGATTAGTGGGGATACAAATGCATGAGCGTGGTATGGGTGCAGGAGGTTTTGAGTCGTTTCGGCGAAAAGTCATGGCAGTACCACAGGATGGGCAAGGGCATTAGAATCGAGCAGCGAATTGAAGTCTTCGGGTTTAATCAGGCACTAGATGCGACAGGTGCTAATTGAATAAGTACTTAGAGCCATGTCTCATAAGAAGAATGTTGGTGATGCAGGAAGAGCTGGCGCCGTTAGCATCCATGAATGTCTGTGGGGGTGCGGGGTTAGGTAGGCGACCTCGGGAAGCTCGGGAATGCAAGGCAACCTTAGAATACGCCGGCCTCAACATACTTCAACACTATCTAGATAGCCGATTTCTCAGCCCGAGACACCTTCCTCCAAGACATTACTACACATTCTTCCAAATCGTGTCGTGTAGCATCGTGATCGAAAGTCTCCATTCAGATCTGCGCAATGGCTTCGGCGAAGATCTCCACGCATTGGTTTGCCGCAGCTAGCTAGATTGGGCAGTAGGCACAGTTTACTTCTCTGTCTTTCGCGCTCGAGCCCGAGGGGTCTTTTCGCGAGGGAACTTTGGTTGTGTACATTGGGGGAGTAGGCACAGTTTACTCGAGGAACCTCTTACCCGTCTTTACTGAGATGCCCTAACATGCAGTTAAATGAATGGTTTGTACAGCACATGAGCTGCTCTTCTAGTTCGCGAACAGCTTATATCAACCCAAGGGCTCTTTCTTTGATGTATTCGGAAAGCGATTTGGGTGTCTTATCCTGATGTTTAATAGCTGTACACTATGAGAAGTAGAAAAGCTTCAATAGCTAAGTTCACTCATTTGTGGAGGCGCAACGTGGCTCACGCTGACGCACCTTCAAACCAGCGTTGTTGCATACACACGCATGGTCAAATATGCTTGGGACAGGGAAGTAAGTGACACAAGACACAAAAGATGAGCAGACACCCAAAGTATCATTCAGACCGTCATACTTCACTATCACAACGCTATGCCAGAAATACCAAAGTCCGGGAACGCCTTCCCATTTTGCCTCACCTACTTGGGCCACGCCCTCTCCCTCTGCCCCGCCCTCCTCTAGCAGCTTTATAAGGCCTCGGGACTGGTGATCCATCACTCCTTCTCTTCTCACCGATACGTGACGAGTACCTTTCCTCTCTCTTCATGTTTTCGCAAGCTTCTTCCTGTTCACGGGTCCCCGTAGAATGGTTGTGGACCTCACACCACTGCTGCCGTACTGCCCCATCGCCTCCCGTAGTAAATGGATCGCGAACGTAGCAAATGCCGAAGAGAAGTTTGGCGACTGCGCGGACCCTTGACTTGACACTTGGGTGCGTGTTCATGAACATGTCCCAACTGCCATAGTGCTGCGTTCCCCAGAGGAAACTGTATAGTATCACTATCCAGCGACAAAGTGGGGCATGCGTTGGGAGGTACTCAAAAGCGCGGACGACGTTTTCTATGCTAGGCAGCTCTCCGGTCTCGTGGTAGTTCGTGTTCTGGAAGCGAAGCAAAACAGTATAAGCCGAGTGGTACTCCTTACGCAGATACGTGACTATGTAAAGAGTGAAGAGGTTCTGGTAGTATTGGTCGAGAGTCAAGCGGTGTTTGCCAAACGGCTCGACCCTGCCGTGTTTATCCAAGAGGCTGTACATCGCAAAGATGACGGATTTGACCTTGGGGTTACTGTAATCTTGAAAGAGATTGATCTGCTCAGCGAATTCCATCATATCCAGGCCAGGATCCCCGCTTATTGGAGTATGAACGTTATTCTCTTCATCGTTGAACCGCCTTCCATTGGCCGCCGTCATTCTCGATACTAGCGATCCTGGTGTGGTGTTCATCAATGGTGGCGTATATAACGTTTCATCTCGGTGATGGATGTTCCGTGTATCGAGCCTGAGTGCCGCTGGACCTGTTGGTGTGCTCGGAGGGGGTTTTACGGCGGCGGGAAGGTCGCAATGTTGATGCCTGAGCCGGCAGTTTTGGCAAGTGTGACCGAAATCTATGTGGGCTAGGTTCCCAAGCTGCGGCAAGTAGACTCTGCACTGATGGCCATATTCCGCACACTGACTGCATCCTCCACCGTCAGCCGCCTTGCCATGGTAATGTTGAATCGCTCGCGCATGAGCGATTTCAAACTTCCGCGCATAAGTCAGACGATCCCAATCGCCTACTGGATAGTGATAACCGAATTCATCATCGGAGGGCGGATCCAAGACGTATGCGGCAAAGTCTTCGATGTGCTTGACCGGGTCTGGTCTAGATGGTGTTGCGGCGTCGCTATCCGTCATCCGCCTTGCGCGCTTTCTGGATATATTTGGGCCGGACTTCAATTCCATCAGCGCCCACGGGTATGTCTTTCGGAGACTGCTTTCCAGCTCAGGATTCTCGCTAATTTCAGTCTCTTCAACCTCGATGATCATTTGCTTGACTCCTCTGGGCTTCTCTGTCGCATGAGCCTCACGAGCTCTGTCCTCTTCGGCTTTGGTTTTGGGTGTTACTATAGTGACGCCGGGGTAGTCGTCTTGTAACCGTTGGCGCAACTCTGTTGTCAGATCTTCTTCGCTTACAGTGAAGCTGACATCTTTGACACACGGTGGGATGCTGGACTTCCTGAATGTCTCCCATGACGGAGTCTGGAGTCCATTATCCGGCTCAGGGAGGTCAGCAGCAGTATCCTGCGTCTGTGAGCCCAGAACAGAGTCGCGGTCATCGATGTGAACACCTTCGTCAACTTCGGCCAAGTCTTTCTTGCGCTGATCAGGCTCCTTTGCCAACTCCTTCAAAAACGCGGCCGAAGCGGCAACAAAGTCCAACACCATATTCTCCGGGCTGACGTCACAGCTTCCCAGCGAATCTCCATTCTCGTCTCTAAGCTGAAGTTCCAGCTTTTGATATCTGAACATGTTAGTTCTGGGGTAGGAAATGTGATGGGTATACCCACAATCTTGGCTGCTCGCTAGGCGCATTGCTATGCTCGACAGCGCGAATGGCGCGTAGGATTTCGCACTCTTTCGCCGTCAAAGCGAACTGATAGGTTGGCTCATTCACGGCCATGCTGAATGACAGCGGGCCCTAAGGTGGGGTTGATGTTGATCCCTGGATGTTGCTTGTCTTAGACTTTGTTGCGCCTAGACGTTGCTTGTTTTAGATTCAGACGAGTACTTGATGGACCGCGAAAAATCGTTCTCGCACAACCGAGACCCAACGTGGGGTACGGAGGACCACAATCTGGTCTGCACGAGAAACTGGAATTGCCAGTGTAAAACAATGTCTTGTACAGGCCGTCAAACCGTCGGATGTTCCTCGGGCGGTAGAGACGAGTGTGTATCGGCAAGTCGCGTCTCTAGGTGCCCGTGGTTGCTTCTGCTGGCTTCCCGCGCCAATCAGGAAGTTTCCTGGACAATCGGTCGTTGACGGAAGAATAATGCTGCATCAGACAGGCGCAAGCTGATGGAGATCCAGCGATAGCATCAGCAGATGCAATGAAGGGGCAAAAGGTTGGATGAGCTGATGGTCAAAGGGTTGGAACGCGTCTTCGAGAGGAGTTCGCGAACCTTCCGAGGTTTAGCGCGTCCTAATCTTGGTTAAACCGATTATGCGCCGGCCCCACCACCGTCCCGCAGTGGCCCCCTCGTGTCGCCAACAGACTCGACACCAACATCTCATCGGCCATGTATGCTGTCATTGAGCGCGCAAAGACACACTTAAGCTGTCTGGCATCAGGCTTCGATGCATAGTTACAGTGGCTTTGCCGCGCCGAGCATTCACTTCGACATTCGTGCGGGAACGGGGTAACAGCACAGGTTCCAGCCGCCTCGCAAATTAAGGTAAGCGCGTCTCGATGAAGCAGTTTGCGATGAAAACATTGACAAAGAAGTGATGACATGTACAGATGTATCAAAAAAAATTATTTACACGAAAGTATGAGCCGCACAGCGCCTTTCCACCTGTTCACCAATCCAGCTTCAATTCCTTGGACCAGGCTGGACCAAGCTGGACGCTGGACGCTGCCCGAAATGGCAAATCAGCTTAGCCAGAGCAGGTGCCAGCCTTCTTGGGCTCGCAGCCACCAGCACAACCAGTGTACATCTGGCACTTGGTCTTCGCATCAGCGCAGACGTTCTTGAGGGTAGCAGTGTCCCCGTAGTTGCTGTTAATACCAGCCAGCTCACCACCGTTGACCGCGGTCACGCCCTCGATGTAGACGTTGCGCTTGCATTGCTTAGAGCACTAGGATCGTGTAAGCGGATGTTCAGGAACCTGATCTTGATGATTGAAATCACTTACGTTTCCGCAAGAGCGGTAGAGCTTGCCGTAATCGTTGACATAGAAGTTGACGATGTTCACAGTTCCACATCCGTTGTGCTGAACGACTTTGTCGGATGCGTGGTAGGCGCCGCCACCGATGATCCAGGACTCCTTTCCAGCCTTGTCTTCTTTGATGGAGATGGCATCCTCGCAAACATCTTCGAACCAAACGAACTCAAGAGTGCAGTGGCCTTGGCAATGCACACCTTCCGCCTAAACATGTCTTAGTAGGTATCTACTTCAGGACTTGACCTGACACTTACCTGGTTCTTGCCGATGATCACGTTGCGCAGGGTAGCGCCTTCTTTGAGCAGGAAGACAGCGTCGGCAGCACCGCCCTCAGACTGACCAGAGCAAGCACCGCTACCACGGTCGAATCGGTACCACTGGCCATCGTAGGTTTGACCAGCAGCGACCTCAATGACCTTGCTATTGGTCTTGGTACCAACGGCTTTAGGGACACCTCCAGCGTATCCATTGCATCCAAGGGCAACAGGGAGGAGGGCCGTGGCCGCAGCGAGAATGCCTGCAAACTTCATGGTAGAGGATGGTGTTCGGGTTGAGAAAAGAGTGATCGAAAGCGGAAGCTGGAATAGACGAAATGATAGAAGGAATGCTACTGGAGCCTTGGATATCGGGATGCTTCTGGCTGAAGGATAGAACCTTAACCGGTGGGATGTTTGCCGTTACTTATAGGGAGT